AAGTATTGCTTTCAAAGATACTTTTCTTAAGTTTGATCATTAATAATAAATAACACTTTCCCTTGTTGTGCCACAAAAATATTCAGAACTATTTAAAACATAAATGAATAACAAGCTAAAGTCGGGGTTAAGGAGAAGGCTAAGCCAATAAAGTGATTGCTGCTCAATTATGAGGACACAGTTTTCATCCCCAGAGTCCAAATTTAAAATGTCAGTTTTGGTGGCATGACCCTGTTATCCCTGCACTGGGGAGGTTGAGACAGAAGGAGCCCTGAGGGTTGGTGGTCATCTACTCTTGCCAAAAGTATGAGTTCCAGGTTCAGTGGAAGACTCAGTCTCAAAATATAAGCTGTGAAGCAATATAAGAAGGGATCTTACATCCACCTAGACTTTCTCATGCACCCCACCACATCTGCATACACATAAGCATATTTCTGAGCACACACAACACACAATAAAATAATTATGTAATAGAAGTAGTATGCTATTTCTTGTATTGTTATGTGCCATGTATTTTATGAGCTCATGAGCTCATGTATTTTATGAGCTTTTACATGCATTCGATCTTTAATTTTCTTTTTATTTATTTATTTTTTGTTATATGGGAATTGAACTTAGGGCCTTCTGCATGCAACACAAATGCTATCCCACTGAGATATAACCTCAGTTAAAAATGGGAATAAAACAAACAAAAGTCTTGACATGGGTGTGGTGGCTCACACCTGTAATCTCAGTATTCTGGAGGCTGAAGAGGAGGATTGTCAAGATTTGCAGGCCTACCTGGGCTAGAGTGAGATCATATCTCAAAGAAATAACAGCAATCAAGAAAAAAAAGTAAAAGTGTTCTCTCAATTCAGGTGTTCATTAACCAACAGTTATATATATGGAGATAAATATTTCTTTATTGACTACAATCCCAAGGAAAACAAAATTCAAATACTACAACAACTGATATTTCTGAAATGCATTTCATAATTAGAAGTTCAAAGAATGATCATTATAGATGAATGCAACATGATAGCTTAAGGTCTGAGGATGATACCATTTGAACAGGAAACACTAACGGAAACCCATTGACCTGAACCCTAACAGCACCTAATGTTTCTTTGGCAATGCTTCTGAAAAAGAAATTATAAAAAGAAACGATAGCAGATGCTTCACAGGTTCACACAGGTTCACAATAGTTCATGTATTATGGTTTTTCATCAAATTTCCAGTCTATGCCAGTCTTGGTATCTATAGGAGCGTGCATAGATTCTGATAGTTGCTAAAATGCATCTAAACAGTCCATATTTCTTTTCACTTTAAAACTGCTGGTTGAGGGGCTAGAGAGATGGCTCAGCAGTTAAGAACAATGGTTGTTCTTGCAGAAGACCTGGGTTTGAATCCCAGCACCCATATGGCAGCTAACACCTGTCCCTAACTCCAGTTCCAAGGGATCCAATGGCCTCGTCTTTCCTCCTTGTGCATTGCATGACACAGATGCACTTACCTGCATGCAAGGCAATACACTCATACACATAAAATAAAAATAATAAATAAAACATTTTTTAAAACAAAAAAACTACTGGTTGAATTTGTTGGCTATTATAGAAACTGCATTCTGGATTTGAATGTACATTTATTTTGATTTTAAAAGTTATTTAAGTTTAGTTTAAACTGATACTTGAAATCATTAAAATTGTATGAATCAGTAGAGTACCATGTAATATTTTCTATGTGTACATATTATATAATCTTTAAATCAAGTTAAACCTCTTTGTCTCTTCGTGTATCATTTATTTATGATGATAACATTCAAAATAATTTTCTATGTATTTTAATTTTATTATTGCTTTTTTCTTTCAGTGAATATGTCACAACTGGCTTTGAACTCATGATCCTCCTGCCTCAGCCTCCAGAGTATTGAGATTAGAGATGAGTCTCGCCATGCCTGCTTTTCTATCTTTTTGAAATACGCAGTACATAATTGTTATCAGCAACCACAGTGCTCTGCAAGAGCACATGTGAACCTTTTACTCTGGTTGATGGTGGCTTAGTATACATCAATCAACTTTTTCCTAACCTTCTCTCTTCCCCACTCCCCCCAGCTCCTGATAACCACTATCAAACATTATGATAAAGTTTGATAAATTATACATCTGAGACAGAT